ATTGATAGGCGATTTTTGGAAATGTATAGCCTAAGGGTAGTGAAACTGGGGGGTGGAATATTTTGTACAAAAAAATTGTTAGTTCTAGGAGTTATGAAAATTTTTGTACCAGAGTTTCTTTAAGTGACGAAAGTGAGTACCCAGAAGCTAATTTTTGACATTAATCCCCTATGAAATAAGGATGAAATTTGTACAAAAGTTTGTTACAATTCGGTTTTAGAAGTATGAAATGCTGCACAGACGTTCCTTTTATGTAAGTTATTTTAGCACTTTAAGTGGACCTTTTTGGAAATTCGCCTCTAAGGGTGTGAAATGAGGGGTAAACGTTCTGAAACATTTCTGTTGAAGGAATATGAAAATTTGCACAGAGGTGCATTATGTAGCGTAATTGATAATTAGAGTGATTTTTGGAATTCTTTCCTTAAGGGGGTAAAACTAGGGGTGAAAATTTGAATAATTTTTATGGTAAAATCCATTCTAGGACTAGAAGTATGAAATTATGTTCAGAGGTCTCTTAAATGATGAAAGTGAGTACCTAGAAACGAATTTTAGGCATGCATCCCCTAAAAAATAGGGATGAAAATTTGTACAAAAATTTTTTTTTTTGTTAAAATCGGTTTTAGTATTGTATGCATTTTGCAGATGTTCCTTATGTAACGTAATGGAGCACTAAGAAGCAATTTGTGGAAATTCGCCCTCTCTAAGGGTGTGGAATTGAGGTTGTGAACGTTCCTGAAAAATTCTTGTTGAAGGAAGATGAAAATTTGCACAGAGGTTCCTTATGTAGCGTAATTGAATAATTAGAGTGAATTTTGGAATTCATTCCTTAAAAAGGAATGAACTACGGGTAAAACTAGGGGTGAAAATTTGTATAATGTTTTATGTTTAAATCGTTCCAGGACTAGGAGTATGAAATTCTGTTCAGAAGTCCCTTAAATGATGAAAGTGAGTACTTAGAAGCGAATTTTTAGGGATGCATCCCCTAAAAAATTAAGGGATGAAATTGTACAAAAATTTGTTAAAATCGTTTTAAACTTATGGAATTTTGCAGAGTTCCTTTATGAACTAATTAAGCACTTTAAGAAGCAATTTTCGGAAATTCGCACCTCCAAGGGTGTGAAATGAGGGGTGTTGAACGTTCTGGAAACAATAAATTCTATGGTTCAAGTAATATGAGAATTTGCACAGAGGTTTATTACGTAGCGTAATTGAATAATTAAAGCGATTTTGGAATTGATTCCTTAAGGGGATAAAACTAAGGGTAAAAAATTTGGGTATAAATTTTTATGTAAAATCCGTTCTAAGACTAGGAGTATGCAATTTTGCTAGGAGTATGTAATTTTGTACAGAGGTCCCTTATGTGATGAAAGTGAGTACCCAGAAGAAAAATTTTGGACATGCACCGCCTAAAAAATAATCACTTCACCTATTAAAACAATTAAATTAAAATAAAATTGTCTAAAAAATTAAAAAAAAAAGTTGGGGTGGACCACCCTATCATTTAAGGGTATAAAAAGTAGATATTTTGGGAATAGTTTGTGACCAAACCAAACCAAACGCAGACCTACTGATATTACATATAAAATTTATCAAAATCGGTCTAGCCGTTTCGGAAATGGTAACAAAAAATTAAAAAAAAACAACCCCTATTAAAAAATAGGGTGATGATGATTGGGAACGGTGAAAATTTAGTTGTATGTGTAATTTTTTAATTGCTAAATAAAAAAAAATTAAAATATTTTTTTTTTCAAAAAATAAAAAAAATGGGGTGGGCTACCCTTTCCACTTAAAGGGATAAAAAAATAGAACAAATAAAAAAAAACTATTTTCAGACCTACTCGAATTATACATAATAAAACGTTCATCAAAATCGGCTAGCCGTTTTTGCGGAGATGGTAACAAAAAAACAACCCCTATTAGAAAACAGGGGATGATGGTAGAACGTTGAAAATTTTAGAGTTGTTGTATTGTTTTAAGGTAAAATTAAAAAAATTATTTTTCTTTCCAAAAATAAAAAATGAGGGTGGGCTTCCCTCTCGGCTACCCTTAACACTTAAGGGTATAAAAATAGATAAACACCTATTCTTAGACGTATGATATTACATATAAATTTATTCAAAATTCGGCCAATAAAACCGTTTTTTTTTAAACAAAAAACTTAAAAAAACAAAACCCCTATTAAAAATAGGGGATGATGATAGAACGGTGAAAAATTTTAGGGTTGTTTGTATTTTTTGATGCCAAATAAAAAAATTAAAAATATTTTTTTTTCAAAAATAAAAAAAAATAGGGGTGGGCTACCTTATCACTTAAGGGTATAAAAATAATAACACAGCCTATTTTCAGACCTACTCAATATACCATATTAAAATTTCATCAAAATCGGCTAACCGTTTCGGAGATGTAACAAAAAAAATTAAAAAAAACAACCCTATTAAAAATAGGGGATGATAGCTTAGGATGATAGCAGAACGGTGAAAATTTAGGGTTGTTTGTATTTCTTAATGCCAATATAAAAAATAAAAACATTTTTTTTTCTTTTCAAAAACTAAAAAAAAATGAGGTTGGGCTACCCTCTCGGCTATCCGGTTAAGGGTATAAAAATAGATACCAACCTATTCTCAGACCTACCGAATATACATATAAAAATCTTATCAAAATCGGTTAAGACGTTTCGGAGATGGTAACAAAAAAATAAAAAAGCAACCCCTATTAAAAAATAGGGATGATGGTAGAACGGTGCAAATTTAGGGTTGTTTGTATTTTTAATGCCAAATAAAAAAAATTAAAAAGTATTTTTTTTTTTGGCAAAAAATAAAAAAAAATAGGCTGTGGGCTACCCTTATCACTTAAGGGTATAAAAAATTATAACAACCTATTTTTCAGGACCTACTTCAATATACATATAAATTTCATCAAAAATCGGCTAAGCCGTTTCGGAGATGGTTAACAAAACAAATAAAAAAAAAAACACCCCTATTAAAATAGGGATGATAGCTTAGGATGATAGCAGAACGGTGGAAAATTTTTGGTTGGTTTTGTATTTCTTAATTTGCTCAAATAACAAAAATAAAAAATTTTTTTTTCTTTTTCAAAACTAAAAAAAATGAGGTTGGCTACCCTTATCAGTTAAGGGTATAAAAATCGATAACAAACCTATTCTTAGACGTACCGAAAGTAACAATATTAAAAACTTATCAAAATCGGTTAAGGCCGTTTCGAGAGTAAAAAAAATATAAAAACAACCCCTATTAAAAAGAGGGAATTGAAGTAGAGACGGGTGAAAATTTAGTGTTGTTTGTATTTTTTAATGCCAGAATAAAAAAAAAATTTTTTTTTTGACAAAAAATAAAAAAATGGGGGAGGACTACCCTTATCACTTAAGGGTTTATAAAAAATATATAACTAACTATTCTCAGACCTACTGAAGTATACATATAAAATTCATCAAAATTCGGTTAAGCCGTTTCGGAGGAGTACGGTAACCAAAACTGTAACACGGAAATTATATAAGATAATATTATATGTAACTGCGGAGGCGGAGAGCGAAGAGCGGGAAAGAGCTGATATTATAGCAATAGATGAAATTTAAACTATAATTTAAAACTATTCAAGAAAGAACACACAAAACAAGGCAACGCTGCGCGTTTATTCGTTCAATTCCGAGCAAATTCCCCACGAAGTTGGGGCCTCGCTCGCTAAAGCGAGGCCCCATCGACAGGTCAGATTTTGATGCGAGACGAGACTTCGTAGGTATAAATATTCTTTTGGTTTTACTTTATACATGTCCTTATTTAAAATAAAGTTTCTTGTATGCAACACACTGTATTTTATTTTTAAAATTAAAAGAAAATAATAATAAATTTGAATAAAATATGTTTATTCAAAGGAATAAATAATATTTGGCGACACAATTCCGAAAAAAGCCGAACCGATCCGAAATTATCTAAAGCTTTGGATCGCGACCGTTGCAAGAATAGCGCCAAATAGTATTTACATTGTCCTTATGGGCACTTTCCAATCTAAACTTGTTTCATTTATCTATGGTAGCCGGCTTTATCGGAAATGTCATCTACTACGTCATAGGAATGCTACCACTCATAGATAAAGGGATAAAAACTGCCGTACAGTCCGACAGTGCATTTCCGGATCGATATTCATTGTGTACTTTATTGTTTATAGTGTATGGAGTCTATAGTTTTGAGTTATTTGATGTGTGTTTTTCGGATAAATGTACTTTCTTTTTCTTATAAAACAAAAATACATTTTTATTTATTATATTCCTTTATCTATGATTTTATACGTTCTGTAGCATCCCTGTGACGTAGTTGCAGCTATTGGTCCAAAAGCTATTGCTATTGGTCCAAAAGTTACGAGGCAACCTGTTTAATATAGTAACCTTGCCAATAGATCACTTCATAGATCTTGGGTGCGCAGGACGGCTACGACTCGCCACTGCGATGAATCGCCAATGTCCGCTCCAAAATATTTTTTGTATTAGGGGTTTCGCTTGTGCGTCCCAAATAAACGCGACTGTGAACGAGTCGCAGCTGCTGTGTTCCAACTGCTAGAGGGACCAGTCAAATGCTGTCCTCCTTTCACGCAGTTGAGCAGCTCTGAACTGTTCAAGAACGCGATACTCTCACTCCATTCAATTGAGTCATAAAGCTCCAGAACTGTTCCGCGCCATATGGAGGCACCAGGCTATCGCGCACCGCTCCTTTCAGAACCATTCTCGAGTAGCCCCAGGGCGTAAAGCCCGGAATTTGAAGTTCGCGAATGGAGGACAGCAAATGTAAAAAACTGCGTTTCATAGGAAAATGACCACATTCAGCACTGACAACCACCGACCAATCGCTTTGTCGCATCAGCGAAACCATACCTTATGAACAATCTCTCAACTAGTTTATAGTAAAATTTTTCATATACTTCCATACAGGCTTCCATTATGTGTCCATGATCTTTTTCAACCTAATTAATGTGTAAACACAAAAAAAAAAAATTGTTTAGTTATCTTTTATTAAATGGATTTCGTTTAGATTTAATTTTAAATGTCGGACGTATGAGCCGTTTTCTTTCATCTCTGTGTCTTTTCTTTATTTCTTCTAATTTGGATTTTCTTTTTTTCTGCGTTGAAAATGTCATTTCTCTATTTCCAACAGAACCAAGTAATTTGACTGACACATCTTCGGAATTTAATCGTTCACCAAGAGATACCCTAAAAAGTAATTTAAGGTTAGTATTCATGTATACAAATTTCGTATTCTTGTAACTATAAAATAATATAGCAGCACAAAATTCATAAAAAATCAAATTTGGTAACAGTGATTCAGATCTCAAAAGTGAGTTGAGTCACGAGACTCGCTATCAGCCATGACATTATTGAAGTAAACAACAGTTGCTAATGATTTTTTCTAAATATGGTAACGAACCACCATTGTTCCATTAGAAAAAAATATATTTAAACAAAAATCTTATTTGTTGTGAACTTGGAGGTCACTAAATAATAATAACAATAACGTTTATTTTACAACGTAATATACATAAAGAAATATACAGGGTCGCTGTTATGTATGGAAACGGTCGATTATTAGATAAAATAATTTTACCAAACCAAACCAAACAAAAAGTTAAATACAAAAGTTATAGGATTTTTAAATATCTATTAGCGAGTAACACATTTAAATATACAGGGTAGGTCATAAAGTCGTGACACATCAAAGTTTTATTTTTTTAAATGGAACCCCTTGTATTTTATTGCATATTTCGGATCTTCCTCAATTCTAAGTAAGAAATCGAGGGATACCATACAATGTACCTCAAACCAACCGTTTCCGCAGTTTTGACTTTTTTTTGGAAAATATCACTTAACCAATTCAATTTAACTAATTCTCGATGTGTTTGGTCTCATTTAACGATGCCGTCCTGCTGAAACTATGATACTTAATAATATTTGACAATTAGTTCTCAAGTTAGCATTTATTATTATGTATAAAATGAGATTTATATCAAGTCTGGAAATTACAAGTCAATTCTTCGTTTTAAAATTTCAATTTTTCTAATATACTTAACCATCATTAAAATATATTTTAAAAAACTTTTTTAAATGGAAACACCCTTTCTATAGGAGATTAGACAAAAACTAAATATCGGTGTCTGCTTAGAGCTCAATTTTTGTCAAAAACATGTATTAGTGAAAAAACGCATATCGATATCTGTTTACCGTTTCGGAGTTAACGGCCGTGTGGGTGGTTTTTTCTCAAGAAATATGCATTTTTATAACCAATAATCTCGCGTTAAACTTTTTCTTACTCCGTGAATACATTTTGTGTATTTTTACGGAAAAAGTCATTTTCCAGATCAGCATCTTTTTACGTAGGAATTAATGGTTCAAGTATAATTTTTTTTAAAATCTTAATTAATCTATAAGAATTGATCAACAGAAAATTTTCATGTTTTTTTTTTTTTTTTTTTATATATTTTTAAATTAACTGAAAAGAATTTAAAATTACCTTTCCAAATATTATAGCACACTTGATATTTTGTTATATCCCCTTCGAAATACAGAATTTTTAAAAGTTCGCCACTTTTAACTAGTAGCTTTGGAACCCATCATTGATGATATGGCCCTTAATGGAACTCGAAAAACATATTTTTCCAGCAAGACGACGCAACGCTTCTGAACGCTGAAGTTATCGGCAAATTTCTGCAGCCAATTTCAATGAATAATTGAATAGTCTGACCAAGATCCAAGCCGTTGGCCGTTGAGGCCGCCTGACTTAGTGCCCCATGGATCTATCCTATTGATATATTTGCGGAAGAATAAAGGTTCCTTATTCTTTCTTATAATCTAGACAAGAATTAGAAATACTTAGCAGTTATGAGAGTATCTTTCACCCCCAATGAGTTAATGAATTCCGCCAAAAATTTTCAAAAACTGGCCCGTCTGTATTGTCCATCAGCCACGGTCGATATGTCGAATCCCTGTAGCAAAATCTTTATGTCCTCGGGCTTTGCTTATTTATTTTTATTGTTTATTAAGATATAGTTTTAAATGTGTTGGATGTTGGTTAAATTATATGTTTAAATTGTTATAAAATTCATGGCATACTCTCATGTAGCAAATATTGATTTTCGTTTTAATGATGCTCACAGCTAGAATTTTTTTACATTACAGCGGTGCCGTTTCAAAGCCTACTTATTTAAGGAAGGGGGCGAACTTTTATATACTCTATATCTGCGTAAGATGGGATCGAGAGCCACTGACAATAATCAATGTGTGTTATATTTTTGGAAAGGTAATCATTTAAATTATTTTACAATAAATTAAAAAATATTGACAGTGCTTGTGTCCCATATAAAAAATCAATTTTCTGTGTGATAACTCTTAATATTATTTAATTTAATCATTAGAATATGCAGCTACCGTTAGCGCTCGTCTTGATCGGGACTGTTATGTCACCCTCTT